GAAGGAAGGAAGGAAGGAAGGAAGGAAGGAAGGAAGGAAGGAAGGAAAGAAAAGCAGAACAAAGAAAGGAAGGAAGGAGATAGGAATGAGAAGGAGGGAGGGAGGGACAGAGGGAGGGAGGAGATTTGATTGAAAGGGGAGGAGGACCTCAGAGATTTTAAGGTCAGGAATGGACAGGAGGCTAGCATTGGGTCAGGACTGGTGTGGGGACTTTCAGGCAGCCCCTCCCTTGATCATCATGGTGAGCCAGGGATGGACGGAGGGGCATGCAGAGACAGAGGTGGGCAGCTGACTGGTCTCCTTCCTTCTTTCCCTCCCTCCCTCCTTCCTTCTTCTCTTCCTCCTTTCCTTTTCTTCTTGTCTTCCTTTTCTTCTTTTCCTTTCTTTTTTCCTACCTTCTACTTTTCTTTCTTCTTCCTCCTTTCCTTCTTTCCTCCCTTTCTCCTTGCCTCCCTTCTTGCCTTCCCTTCCCTGATGGGTCCTTTGTTCAGTTGCTTCAGAGGAAGACCTCGCTGTCCCTCTGTTCTCCTCCAGCCCAGAAAGCCCAAGACCCTCCCATACACACCATGAGAAACCTGCCAAAGAGAGCAAGCACAGTAGCAGCAGACCAGGCAACCCCTCAAGGAAGCAGGGCAGGGCAGAGCAGAGTGGGGCTGAGCTGGGCTGCAGGGCCCGAGTACCCAAGAGCTTGAGGCCAGGCTGGCCACTTGCCCACGCCACTGTCCAAGAATCCTGCACATGGCCTGAGAGAGACAGGGAGGCTCCACTGGTGGATGAAGCCTTGGCACTCACCCTGATCTCACCTTCCTCCACTGGAGACCTCCAGATCCCCCCTCCCAGCTTTACCTGGCCCCACACAGGAGGCAGAGGATGATGGTGCTGCATGTTGAAGCACAGAGGAGAAAGTTTGCATGAAGCAGTTTGCTCCAAGTCCAATTTCTGTCTTGACTGAGCTCTGGAGAGAAGGAGGGAGTGGTGGGGGAGCTGCATGAGGGAAGGCTTCCCCAACAAGAAGTATCCCTATTGTCAAGGCAGAAGTTGGACTCAGAAGAAACTGCTTCTTGCAAACTTTCTCCTCCACCCTTCCACACGCAGCAGCATCGTTCTCCACCTCCTGCTTTGTGGGGAGAGGGCATCAGACAGGGAGACAGCAATGATGTCTAGGATTGGCAGAAGGCCCTCTCCTTCCTCTGTGGATAAAAGTCCCCAAACTTAGAATGCAGTTTGTATGTGTATGTGTATGAGAGTGCATGTTTGTGCAACTTGTTGCATGCTGGTGTGACTTGTTCTGTCCCAACCCCAGCCATCCTGAGTCAGCTGCGCCCATTGAGTGGCATTGAGCTGGCCATGCCCACCCAGCCATGCCCATCTGGTACTGTGAGTGATCATAGTCTTACATGCAACTGGCCCTCGGGGGGCAACCATAATACTGATGTGGCCCTCAATGAAATTGAGATTGACACCCCTGATATAATGACTGCAGCAATCACCTAACTGACCATGGTAGCGCAGTGGTTGGAATGAAGTATTTCAGGTTGACTCTGCTGACTGCCAGGAGTTCAATCTTGACCAGCTCAAGGTTGACTCAAAGAGGAAAAGGAGGAGGAGGAAGAGGAGGAGGAGGAGGAGGAGGAGGAGGGGGGGGAACAACTATATTTAAAACTGTAAAGTCCCAGAGATTTCCCTGAGCCACTGAGATGCCAAAGAGAGTAAGACTCGAGGTGAGGCTTGCAAAAAAATAACAGCTTTTATTTATGGCCAAAGTAAAAAGTCTGGGTGTATACTATGTCCAAAACATACAGACAATATGCATCTAAGGACTAGCCACACCCCTGCAAGAATGGCTCAGGTTATTATAATGCAGTTAGAAACAAAGTTTACCCAATGAAACACAATGTGGTCTTTAAAGCTTTTTTTGTTCAGGTCCCTGTCTCTGCCCACCTTATCTATGGAGCATTCCTATAGGGGAGGTTTCCCTCCCTGGCCAAGCTAAATGCTTTCAGGATTCAGAATCTATGAGACAGGAAACTCCCTACTCTGGTTCTTTTATCTATTGGGCCCGATATTCCTGGTTAACAGTTTCTTCTATACTTTAAAGGGTGTGCCAAGCTTCAAAGCCAAGAACAGAAGCAAGAGACAGAAGCGAGATAACAAACTTTGTACTAATAGTAGCCAGTATCAAGGCTATAATTTACTAAGCTAGAATTAATTCCTAACAAGTAACTTCTGACAGTATACAATAATATATATAAGCAGAAGCCAATGACAAAGGTTAATTCCTAATATATGATTTCTAGCAGTATATTATATCAGAAAGCAAACAGCAAATATTGGTTTGATCACTATACTCCTTCAAACTGCTAAATTTATCCCCTCAGGAAACATGATGAAATGAACATCAGAAATGAAGGAAGCACATCTGGTCCATTTGGGACATTTTTCTCTGGCTGCATCTCCCCTGCCCTCCCCCTTGGGTGAATCCAGGATGTGACAGAGCTGATTTTTCTCTGTGTGTAATTTCTTCAGTTGGCCTTCTGAACAAATCTCCAGAGATTTCCCTCAAGATTGTCTTAAATCCAAAACCAGAGCAGAGACAAATCAAGGGTGATATCTTGCCTAGAGCCTGTAAATAGAGCATCATAAAGCTCTGCTGACACTGAGTTGCTGAAGATCAGGGTACAGAAGAAGAAAGATTCCTTTGTTAGGATCGCCTTAGGAAAGCCAACTAAGACTTAGGTTGCTCTTCATTTTTCCCTGTTTTCCTAACTGTGAGAGCAAGTGGCTATGCCAGCTATGCAAGGAGTGAGTCTCTTCTTTTTTCTGCTTCTCCTTCCCCCGATTCCTTGGGGGATGCTGAAGGCAAAATGTCCCTTGACTTCACAACGACCTCCAGCAGACTGGAAGAACTATTTCAAGCCAGGTGATTATCTCTTTGGAGGAGTCATCACTGCAAGGAAATGTCTAAATCCACTTTACCTTTTCAACCAGATCCCCTCCAGCCAACGTTTCCAGTGGTGAGTCATAATTTTGGAATGAAAGTTCCAAAAGCTGCTAGTTTTCTTTACCCTGCATGTATTTCACTCTATTGTCATTATCTTGTCCCTCTTAAATTGCTGGTGGTGGTGAGAAAGGATATGGAGAGCTGCAGTGGCACAGTGTTTAGAAGGCAGAGCTGCAGGCTGCTTCTGCTGACTGCTGTCTGCTGATAATTTGGCAGTTCGAATCTCACCAGGCTCAAGGTTGACTCATCCTTCCATCCTTCCAAGGTGGGTAAAATGATGGCCCAGATTGTTGGGGGCAATACACTGACTCTGTAAATGGCTTAGGACTACAAAGTACTATGTAGCAGTACATAAGTCTAACTACTAAGAATAAGAATCCTTTTATTGGCCAAGTGTGATTGGACACAAAAGAAATTTTTCTTGGTGCAAATGCTCTCAGTGTACATAAAAGAAAAGATGCATTCATCAAGAGTCAAGAATCATAAGGTACAACACTTAATAACAGTCATAGGGTACAATAAGCAATCAACTCATACCAGGAAACAGTCAATAAAAATTGTTAGAATACAAGCAAGAAGGTTACAGTCATAAGTGGGAGGAGATGGTTGAAAGGAAGGATGGAAGGATTAATAGTAATAGTAACAGTAATGCAAACTTTGCAAATAGTTTGACAGTGTTGAGGAAATTATTTGTTTAGCAGAGTGATGGAGTTCAGGAAAAAACTGTCCTTGTGTCTAGTTGTCCTGATGTGTAGTGCTCTATAGCATCATTTTGAGGGTAGGAGTTGTGTCCAGGATGTGAGGGGTGAATCCTCTTTTTGACTCGTGCAGTATACAGGTCCTCGATGGAAGGCAGGTTGGTAGTAATTGTTGTTTCTGCAGTCCTAATTACTCTCTAAACTCTGTGTCTGTCTTGGTGGGTTGCAGAAACAAACCAGACAGTTATAGAGGTGCAGACGACAGACTCAATACTATTGCTATTGCGATTCCTGAAGTACCCAGCCATCAAATGCCCAGCATGCTCTTTTGGCTGGAGAAATTCCTTTGGACCAATGTTGTCTGATTTTCAGAAAAAAGCAAAAATCATGTATGCTGTTGACAATATCTGAAGAGTGCCTCTGTGTCCCTTAAGTTCTCACTTCCCACAAGTGTGGAAGTTGTGGGTGTCAGAAGTATAATTTGGGGTTCTAACTTGAGCTGGGGTTGGTCAGCAACAGTGTTCTTGTTGTTAATTACATTTCTTATCACTTCCTTTTTATAGATGTGTTAAGTATGTAACCTTTCCACCAATCATGAGAGCCATCACACCTAATATCATTCAGGCCTATTGTTAGTGTTTGGGGACAAACCCCCAAGCAGAGTGTGCAGCAGCAGTCAAGCCAGGCAGCCAAATGAGAGAGGCTGGGCCCAAGAGTATACACACACTGGAGACAAAAACACTGTTTGTTGTTTTAAATAGTTGTTTAATCCATTCAGAGTATAAGCATTGTCAATAAGTCCATATGTCATTCACAAATATATCCATCCAGTAACTTAGTCCATTGACTAGTCAGTACTATGTCCTTATCTGCTTGTAAATCTTCTCCTCCCGATACCTTTCTCTCGAAGACAACGCTGAGTATTCACAGGATATCAGCTCACCAAGGTAATAGTCTTTTTGTTCAGCAGAAACGGTATCCAGCACAGTAGCCAACAAAACAGTATCAAGCAGACGTCTCAAACAGGAGTAAGCAGCAGGCAGGCAGAGAGCCAGAGAAAACCAGGGAGCAGGGCTGTTACATTTCTCTTACTGCCTTTTATTGCTGCTTGCAACCGCACCCTTAATTAGCTAATTACATTGCAGTTTGGTGCTTAAAGCTACAAACACTTAAACCTAGGTTTATATATTTATTCACCCAAACCTAGTTGGTGTATCCATATACCCAACACCTATCATACAGGTTGTCCTCAACTTATGACCACAGCTGAGCTCAAAAGTTATATTGCTAAGTAAGCCAATTGTTCAGTTAGATTTTTCCCCATTTCTTGCCACTGTTATTAAGTTGATAACTGCAGTTCTTAAGTTAGTAACATGGTTGTTGAGTGAATCTGGTTTTGTCATTGACTTGGCTAATCAGAAGGCTGCAAAAGGTGATTGTATGACTCCAGGACACTAAATTGTCATAAATATGAATCAGTTTCCAAGCATCTGAATTTTGATTGCATGACCACAGGGGTGCTGCAATGTTGTAAATGTGAAAATGGTCATGAGTCATTGTTGTAATGTACTGTTACAGACTGGTACGGTAAACGTGGCAACCTTGTAAGAGTGATGGATGGACAATGGAATGTAGCCATGTGATAAGGTGCCGTGTGGAAAAGTACTAGCCAGAGAAACGGAGAAATGAGAGTAATATGGGAGAAACGAAAGTTACGGAGATAAGAGTACCTGGGGAGGAGCTAAGAAGTAGGAGCATAAGATATCAGCTATGGCATAGGTGTGCATTAGCATAATTATGTAGAAAGCTCTTTGTCCTGCTATGACGTATGCATGTAGCCTATAAAAGGAGTACCCACCATTATTAAAGGGTCTTTCATCCTGAGTAAACACTGTGTGCCGTGTGTTTATTTATTTACCACGAGAGGCCCAGGGCTCTGAGTTCAGGCCCTGTTGTCGCCAGGAGGCAGGCGGAGAAAAGCCACAACTGGTGACCCCAACGTGATCCAGCAGGAAGCGTGACAGCGTGACTTCAGGAAGGAGTGCGTTGCCCTGACCCTCATCCTGTGCACTGGAAAAATCAGCTAGCGCATCACAGGTATGGGCTCCCCAATTTCGAAGGCTCTGTCCAAGCATGTGGAAGAGCTTCACTTTTTGGTCAGGAAGGCGAACAAATCGCAGAAACTTAGCGGCACAACTATCTATCCTATACAAAAAAAAGCCATCATTAACTTTCTTGTGTTCCTTGAAAAAAATTGCTCCGCTTATCCAGAAGGTGGCACTCTAAGACAATCTATTTGGGAAGAAATAGGAAAATACATCCACCAGCCTCCGCGAGCCCCCCCGAAATCCTTTACGCCTGGAGAGCTCTTATGAATGCTATTAATATTCTTTATCCTCCCTCTGACTTAACTCCTGATCCAGTTCTTACTCAGAATTCGGATCAGCCTCTTCATCAGCCTCTTCAATCTCCTAGAAGTCCCACGCCTTCATCCGGAGAAAATCTCCTGCATTCTCTGGAAAAAATTCCTCCACTTTCCCCCCCTCCTCCTTCCTGTCCTCCTCCCTACAACCCTTCTCTTGTCTCTGATGTTAACCCTATCCACTCCGATGATCTTCCTGCTTCCTTGCCTGTTCGAAATACCTTTCAGGATCCGGAGGACCTCTCTTGTTTTCCTAAGGTCCTCCAAGCCCCAGCAGGTGGTGGAAATGCAAATCCTGCTCCTCAATCTCTGCTTCTAACATCTCCCCAACTTGCCGCTTGGCACAATGATGAGATTCAGATGGGAGCAGAGGGTTATCCCATCATGAGAAATGTTGCTTTAAATGCCTTTTGCATGGTCCCTGATCCTTCTCAACCTTCTTTGTCTTTTGGCAAAATTCTTCAAGGACCTCGTTCCAATCTTTCCCCTTTGTCTCAACCCGAACTAATTTCGGGGCCTGCAGCTAGCCCCACCTCCAAGGCAACTCCCCCCTCCACACAAACAGCTTTCTCTGTTCTGTTTTCAACTGCTCTTACGCTCCCCCGCCCGCTCTCACCTCACACGCTCATCTTACTCATCCCAAACTCCTCTTTGATCATGGAAGGGGTGGTCGCTACCCCCTTTCTTTACTCATCCGCTCTTAATTGCCTCTTTTTTGCAGCCGGAGGTGAAAGATCTTTTGCATTGCCTGTTAACACTATAGTAGCCACTCTTGTTATTGCAACCCTTTCCCCTCTATTCCATGCCCTCACGGGCTTGATCGCATCATCCCTAACTGTCTGCTCTCTTTGGCTGTCTTGCCCACACCAGCCCTTTTCACAGCCATTCTCTTCCAAATTGATCCCAAAACAAAAAAGCTATACATCATCGAATGGCTTCACCTCCCTCACACTCCTAGAGCAACTGTCACCTCTAGAGCCATTCAGCTCGCTCTGCTTTGTATCAAGGGACGTCACCGAGCAAAGGCTTTGCTCGCTCACGATCTTCAAGCTATACACATTCCTTTCAAACTCTCTCAATGGGAACCACTTTTTCAGACGTCAGATGTATTACAGGACGCTCTGGAAAATTGGATTGGTCCCGTCTCCTGCCATCTCCCTTCTGACCCCCGTTTGCAGTTAATTAAAACGATACCTATTACCTTTTCCTCTCCAGTAGTTGCTTTTCCATTAATTCAAGCCATCACGGTTTTCACTGATGGCTCTAAAACTCATGGTGCTTGTGTCTGGTATGATCAAGGTAACTGGCACAAGCAACTGACAAAGCCCCAATCTTCAGCACAGCAAGCTGAACTAGCTGCTTTTAACTTAGCTTTGAAAACATTTCCTGGACAACCAATTAACATCATAATGGATAATCTATATGTCTCCCAATTGGTCTTACATATTTTTGAGGCATATCTATCTCCTTCTATACAACCATCATTAATGACACTGTTGCTTCAGCTGCAAATGCTCATTCAATCTAGGACCCATTCTCTATTTGTAGCCCACATACATAGTCACCAACATCTCCCAGGTTTCCTTTCTGAAGGGAACCAGGTAGCTGATACTGCCTGTAAAGTACTTCCCATCAGTATTAAGATGCCTCAACCTTCCCCTCTATCAGCAGGGGAAAGTCATAGTTATTTTCATCAAAACAAAAAGGCTTTGGTTAAACAATTTGGCATTTCTCTGGAAGAAGCAACGGCAATCATCCAACAATGCCCCACTTGCAGTTTGCAAGCAAAAACTTTTCCTCAAGGGATTAATCCCAGGGGCATAGAGGCTTGTGAGACATGGCAAATGGATGTCACTCAATTCTCACCTTTTGCCCCTTGGAAATACCTTCACGTGTCTATTGACACCTATTCAGGGTTCATCATAGCCATCCCTCAAAGGGGAGAAACGTCAAAGCACGTTATCAATCATTGTATTCGGACCTTCGTAGTACTGGGACCACCAAAAAATCTAAAAACAGATAATGCACCAGCCTATGTCAGCTCTCAATTCTCTGAGTTCTGCCATCACTGGTCCATTATCCACAAGTTTGGGATTGCCTACAATAGCCAGGGGCAAGCTATTGTTGAAAGGGCTCACCAAACCTTAAAATTGGCATTACAACGATACATGGGGTCAAATGGCCTTAAGGGCCCCCCTAGCCTTCCAGTATTACAAAATGTGTTAAATGTTTGTCTGTATACGCTTAACTTCCTCAATCTCACTGGCACCCCTCCCCTGTCTGCTGCGTCTCGACACTTTACTAAACCACCTGTTCCCACTTCGAGACCACTTGTCTATTATAGACAGTTACCTGATCCTGCGTGGAAAGGACCTGCCGAATTGATCACCTGGGGTTGAGGCTACGCAGCAGTCCAGCTTCCTGACAGAACTCTTTGGGTTCCTGCAAGGTGTGTCCGCCCATATCACCGCCCACAACCAGCGGAGCCATCATCCGAAAAAGATGACAGCACTTCTCTTCTTCCTGCTTGGCTGTTCGCTTCGCTGGACTGATGGGGCATCCACCAGCATTAATGCCCACAAACCATACAACATCACATGGGTCATCAAGGACGTATATGGGCAGGTATTGAGTTCTGCACACAGCTATGCCAAAATTGACATTTATTTCCCACGCTTACAATTTGATTTCGCTGAAATGATCGTGGGCAAAACAGCATATAAAAAGACAGGATTTGATACTCCACAACCAAGCCCAGGCCTAGTGAAAAAACTCCACCTTTATGTCTGCCCAGGTCATGACACCTCTCCAGACCATCTATACACTTGCGGTGGCCTATCGGACTACTTTTGTAAATCCTGGGACTGTGTATCCACCGGTCACATCTGGTGGGACCCTCCTTACAAAAATGACTTAATCACCCTTTCCCGTTCAAAGGAGGATAGATCTTGTGAAAGGCCAGAAAAGATCCGCTGTAACATGATCACTGTGGAATTCACTGCAAGGGGGAAAGCATCTACATTGTGGGACACTGGAGCAAAGTGGGGGGGAAGAGTGTATGACACCATGGGGTATGATTCTGGCAACATTTTTTACATACAACGACACATACACATACCCACCTCTGACCCTGTGGGACCAAGTGCCAAGGAAATTAAATCTTCCTTTCTACAACCTTTACCAACAACAACTAATCCCCTGCTGCCACTTCTCCAGTCTTCCTATAATGTCCTGAATGCCTCCAACACTTTCATATCTAAACATTGTTGGTTATGCTTGTCTCCCACTCCGCCATTTTATGAAGCAGTTGGATCCGCGCAGGCCATAAGAAATGACACCTCGGACTCCCAATGTAGATGGCACGATAGTACCACCATCACTATCACTTCCGTAATAGGACAAGGCTGCTGTTTGGGCCACATACCTAAGAATTACTCACAATTCTGTTTAAATGCCACCACGGGAAAGCACCTATGTGACATGTACATACCGGCTCACTGACTCAACCTTAATATAGGAGGATGGACCCAGGTATTTACCACCTCCGGAGGCAATATCAGCAAACGCCTCCAGGGTCAATACTTCATTCCTGGAGATGCCTCAATGTGGGCATGCTCTACGGGACTGACAGCCTGTGCCAGTGGGGATACTTTAATCAAGCAAAAATCATTTTGTATTCAGGTACAATTGCTTCCCAAAATTGATGTATATAACTTAGAAGATTTTGTATCTTTACTAGAACCTAGACAATATAACCTTAGGGCAAAAGGAGAAGTAGTAACTGCTTTGATGCTAGCTGTACTGCTGGGATTGGGGGCTTCTGGGACGGCCACAGGTATAGCTGGCCTCGTTACTTCTGATCAGCATTTTCGCCATTTAAGCGCCACCATAGATGCAGACTTACGCCGCATTGAACAATCTATAGTTGCTTTGCAGAACTCCCTCACTTCCCTATCTGAAGTTGTTTTACAGAATAGAGGAGGTTTAGATTTGTTGTTCCTCAAGCAGGGTGGGTTATGTGCAGCACTGAAAGAAGAATGTTGTTTTTATGCAGATAGTTCAGGAGTGGTTTTAGATTCTATGAAGGAATTGGATAAGAGATTAACGGAAAGGCAAAAAGAACGAGAGGCTCAACACACATGGTATCAGGGTCTGTTCAACTTCTCCCCATGGTTAACCACCTTAGTATCTGCCATTGCTGGTCCTCTTATTCTCCTACTTGTGCTCTGTACTATTGGCCCTTGTGTTTTGGGCAAAGTTTTGGCCTTCTTAAAACGTAGATTAAGCCAGTTGGATTCCAACCTGTCACGAACTCAAAAACAGGTAAATACTTTCATATCCCATACACAAGAAAAGCAACCTTTGTTATCATTCTCCTCGGACTCAGACAACGACGAAATCATCAAAAGTGTTGGTAAGGATAAAACATGCATCCTAATGCATTTGCAAACCTCAGACTCAGAAGAGGAGGGGGCGAGCAAGAATTACCATTAGGTAGTGTTAATATCACTTTCCAAAAAAATAAAAACAGAGGAGATGTTGTAATGTACTGTTACAGACTGGTACGGTAAACGTGGCAACCTTGTAAGAGTGATGGATGGACAATGGAATGTAGCCATGTGATAAGGTGCCGTGTGGAAAAGTACTAGCCAGAGAAACGGAGAAATGAGAGTAATATGGGAGAAACGAAAGTTACGGAGATAAGAGTACCTGGGGAGGAGCTAAGAAGTAGGAGCATAAGATATCAGCTATGGCATAGGTGTGCATTAGCATAATTATGTAGAAAGCTCTTTGTCCTGCTATGACATATGCATGTAGCCTATAAAAGGAGTACCCACCATTATTAAAGGGTCTTTCATCCTGAGTAAACACTGTGTGCCGTGTGTTTATTTATTTACCATGAGAGGCTCAGGGCTCTGAGTTCAGGCCCTGTCATCACCAGGAGGCAGGCGGAGAAAAGCCACAAGTCATTTTTTTCAATGTCATTGTAACTTTGAACAGTCACTAAATTAATGATTTTAGGTCAAAGACTGCAAGTATTTTTCTTCCTCAATTAAATTTGCTGTTTCTCTCTCTGGATGTGAAAGAAGGTAGAAGTAAATGAGATGTTATGGCTGAATTTGGCATATCGATACATCATCTGATTTGCAGGAATCGAAAACTACCGATCTGGTACCTCTTGTCCTTCTTGATCGCCAGCCGTGAGATCAACAGGAATCCCCTCATCTTACCCAACATCACTCTGGGTTACAACGTCTATGACAATCATTTCAATGCAGAGATGAATGCTGAAGCCTTGCTAGATCTGCTTTCTGCTGGAGAAGCAAATGTTCCAAACTACAAATGTGGAAGACAGAAAAATATCCTGGCTCTCCTTGAAGGGACCGATTCTGACCTCTCCCGCCACATTGCAACCATGGTCAGCATCTATAAAATCCCACAAGTAAGTGTGGAAGTTTTCAGTATCACTGTGGCTCAAGATGCAGAAGGATCTTGACAGACGTGAACATTGGGCACGATCTAACAAAATGAAATTCAAGGGTGAAAAAAATAAGGTTCTACATTTAGGCAAGAAAAATCAAATGCACAGGTACAGTATATGTGGTACCTTGCTCAATAGTAGTAACTGTGAGAGGGATCTCGGAGTCCTAATGGACAACCACTTAAATATGAGCCAGCCGTGTGCAGCAGCTGCCTAAAAAGCCAACACATGTCTAGGCTGCATAAACAGAGGAATAGAATCAAGATCACGTGAAGTGTTAATACCATTTTATAATGCCTTGGAAAGGCCACACTTGGAATACTGCATTTAGTTTTGGTCACCATGGTAAAAAAGATGTTGAGACTCTAGAAAGAGTGCAGAGAAGAGCAACTGAGATGATTAGGAGACTGGAGACTAAAACATATAAGGAACAATTTTAGGGTATGTCTAGTGCAATGAAAAGAAGGACTAGGGGAGACATGATAGCAGTCTTCCAAAATCTCATGGGCTGCCACAAAGAAGAGAGAGTCAAACTATTCTCCAAAGCACCCGAGGGCAGTACAAGAAGCAATGGGTGGAAACTAATCAAGGAGAGAAGCAACTTAGAACTAAGGAGAATTTTCCTGGCAGTTAAAACAATTAATCTGTGGAACAATTTGCCTCCAGAAGTTGTGAATGCTCCAACACTGGAAGTTTTTTTTTTAATGTTGGATAACTATTTGTCTGAAGTGGTGTAGGGTTTCTTGCCAAGGCAGGGGGTTGGATTAGAAGACATCCAATGTACCTTCCAACTCTGTTATTCTATTCTGTTCTATTCTATGTTACTCATATATTACAAAAATGTGCTTTTTATAAAAGGTTGGAATTTCTGCATTATAGCCATTGTTTTAAAATGATGTACTTTAAACTGCACACAGTCATTTTACAGATCATTGTCAATTCCTTCCATTCTGTGCAGGTCTCTTATGCTTTTGTTTCGAATGACCTGAATGATAAAATCCAGTTCCCTTTCTTCTATCAGATGCTCCCAAAAGAAGGGATCCAATACACAGGGATTGTTAAAATGATCCAGTATTTCAAATGGACCTCAGTGGCTCTCATTGCTCCAGAATCAGACAACGGAGAAACATTCATGAAAACATTAAGACCTTTACTTGCCCAAAATGGCATTTGTGCTCTGTTCTCACAAAGCCTATCGGGAATCAGTACCAATCAATATACGCTAACAATTGATCTTTACTTCAAATGGAAGCAAGTCAATGTGTTTATTTACTATGCCGAGACCATGTTGCAATCTTCCTATTTCTATGGGATGGCATTTATTGACGAAATTCTGCACCTCTCAAAAATTTCTTCCTTAAAGAAAGTCTGGATCGTGACAGCCATGGGGGATCTCACTTTTAATATGTGGTATCAAGATTTCCAACAGGTTCACAGTATGTTCACCATTTCCATCCAGGCTAAGAAATGGATAAAGGATGACGCTGATCAATTTTTTCCTTCACTCTTGAAATTCGGCAACAAAGCTTTTCCGTGTTCATTTGAAAAACATGCGTTCTCGGTTAAAGGCTGGTTGAGATGCAGAGAGAATGAACAAATGGAAAATCTAAAGCAGAAGGAGATAGAAGCCAGCCTTTCTCTGGAGAGCCATCACATTTACAACTCTGTCTGGGGTGTGGCAAAAGCCCTAAGTGTTGCCTTGATCTCCATATCCAAATGGAGGATGCCAAAAGAAGATGGAAAGTCCTTGGAACTGAAAAGGATAAAACCTTGGCAGGTATTTGCTACTCTGTCAATCAAATCTCAGTTGAATATAATGATTATATAAATAATTGTATGTAATGGTTGTATAAACAGAGGCATAGAATCAAAATCACGTGTAATATTAGTTGTTGCTGTTGTTAGTTGTGAAGTCATGTCCGACCCATCGTGACCCCATGGACAACATTCCTCTAGGCCTTCCTGTCCTCTACCATCCTCTGGAGTCCATTTTAGCTCCCGCTGACTGCTTCAGTGACTCCATCCAGCCACCTCTTTCTCTGCCATCCCATTCTTTTTGTTTTCCCCTCAATCTTTCCCAGCATTAGGCTCTTCTCCAGTCAGTCCTTCCTTCTGATCAGGTGGCCGAAGTATTTGAGTTTCAACTTCTGGCCTTCTAAAGAGCAATCAGTATTGATCTCCTCTAGGAATGATTGGCTGATCTCATTGCAGTCCATGGGACTTGCAGGAGTCTTCTCCAGCACCAGAGTTCAAAGGAAATATTAGGACCACTTTATAACATTTTAGTAAGGCCATGCTTGGAATACTGCATCACACAAGGGTCACCACACTACAAAAAAGATATTGTGACTTTGTAAAAAATGCAGAGAAGAGCAATTAAAATGGCTAAAGGTCTGGAGACTAAAACATATGAAGAATGGTTGCAGGATTTGGGTTGGCTAGTCTGGAGAAAAGGGGTGACATGATAGCTGTCAGGATTCCGGCAGTTACTCCAATTAAATCATGAGCCTCGAGCCACACTCCCAAAACTAAAAAGGATTTATTAGAAGTTAACATTCTACATCCAGCATTAACCTGGGCATATCAAAATCTGAGATATGTAATTCACTGTCACCCTTGATCTTGCTTCCCACTCCCCACCCCTCTGGGTGTATCATCCAATGAAAAACGCCCATAGACAACAGTTATCAATCAGGCTCTCCAATTAGATTTTTGCACGGCAGAAGCTTCAGTCATTTAATCAGTCTCTGAAGAAAATATGAATGGAAAGTACTTTCGATTCCACACTGCTGCCTACGCTTTGAAACTACGCCCCTTCTTTCTGTTGAAAACTATAAAATGTGCATACAAAATGTTTTATGAATTGACAATAGCAATATTTCAAGATGGTCTTCAGCAAAGAAGAGGGGGTCAAATTATTTTCCAAAGCACCAGAAGGCCAGACAGGAAAAAATGGGTGGAAACTGATCAAGGAGAGAAACAAGCTAGAACTAAAACAATTAACCAATGGAGTCTTCAAAAATTGTGGGTGGAAGTTTTTAAGAAGAAACTGGACAGGCACTTCTCTGAAATGATATAGCGATAGCACTTAGACTTAAATACCATTTCACAGTGCTTTACAGCCCGCTTTAGGCATTTTACAGAGTCAGCCTATTGCACCCAACAATCTGGGTCCTCATTTTTATCAATCTCAGAAGAAGGTTGGAAGGCTGAATCAACCTTGAGCTGGACAGAATCGAATTGCTGACAGTCGGTGAATTTGCCTGCAGTACAGTGTTCTAACCACCACACCACCATGGTTCAATATAGGGTATAGATAGTGTTTCCTGCTTGATCAAGAGGCTGGATTAGAAGTCCTCTGAGGTCCCTTCCAGCTCTATTATACTCTAATAGTTATTTTTAAAATTAATTATGCAGGATTTTATTATTTTCTCTATTATATTATATTATTTTTTATATTTTATTATTTATATTTTATTTGACTTTTTTCAGTTTTCATTTTTTATTATTAATACTGTAAGTATAGGTTATAGGTCACGTTTTACTTTTAGAAGTAGTTTTCATTTTGGAGGCAAATGCACAACAGTGAGAAGGCATCCATCAAAGGGGTTTAAATTGCACATCTCATAACACATACTAGAAAAAAATACTCGAGGAAAATTGGGTTTCTCCAAACAGTAATGTTTCACATCCATTTGAATAGAGGACCATTAATCAGTTGGGATTAATGTCTGGAAAGTTGAAAAAACACTGCAGAAGAAAGTCAGGAGAAACATGTCCATTGTCAGCCTTGAAAGCCATATTTTACTTAGAAGCTTCGAGGCTGCCCCATTTACTGCCAGGAAATTTGGGAAGCGGGGTTTCATAGAGAGGTGGAAGATTAGACTCAACAACATTATTTCTGTGAAAGTCAAGGACATGTCACCCTGCACCTGTAGAGGAGTGTCCAGGGGGATGTCTCCAGTTGGAATGAAGACTTGATTGGACCATGTGATGAACTGGTGGGTGCAGGGGGTGAATCTTTGAATTCTCTTTTGGGAAGGAAAAACTCAAAACTCTCAGATTCGGGTTTTCCCAGATGTGACAACTCTAATAAAATGGAACTCTGAGAAAATGCTTGTCTCAGAGTTTATGGGTTTGGAGTTTGTTGTCTGGAACGGTGACATCCACGTTCTTCCTTGATGTGAAACTATTTCCTTTGCTAGTGGACTGAAGGATTCCATCATGGGAATGATACCATAGAGACTGATTCTTTCTTCTATAAAATGGGTTTTTCTTGTTGATGTCAATGTGTTTACTTTTCTAGTTTCACTCTTTCCTGAAAACCTATCAGTTTTACAATTCCATGGACGGTGTGTATCTGGGCAAGAATGGCGAGCTGGCAGCTGATTTTGACCTTGTGAACTGGTTGTGGTTTCCCAACAAGTCTGTAGCCAGAGTGAAGTTTGGGAGTTATGCAAGACAGAGTTCCCAGGAATCCATCTTTGTCATTGACCAGCAAGCTGCTCTCTGGCCCCAAAAGTTTAACAAGGTGGAGGAAACTATTTCATTCCTATTTTACCTTTCATCATTGTCATCCATTTAGTACAGTTTCTTTAAAGTCTCTGAAGCCCTTCAAGGTTTCAGAAGAGTTGCAGAGCCTCATCCAACTCTTGTGGTTTACATATTCCATAAATATGCCTGATTCAGAAAGTTTGGATTATCTGAACATTTTATTCTTATTTTCATAACACTTTCTATAATTGGTGTATGTTACAAATGTGGACCAGTCCCAAGATGAAATGGGTCAACTCACCATGGCCATCTTGTCACAGCCAACTTACCACAGCCTACTCACCAGAACCAACTCACTACGGCCAACTCACCATGGGACAACTTCAGCAGTGGGATCCTACCTCTTCCACTATGGATTTCCTGATTGTGCGCATGCAGCTTTCCACACACCAGCTGAGACCTGCAGCACCAATCAGCTGAGAGGATAAAGAACAGAAAGGGGTGGATAAAAGGGCCGATTCTGCACTTTTCTCTTCTTTCTCTTCTCAGCTGATCATCAGAGGATTTTTTTACTACATGTTCGGCCGAACCGGTAGGAATTTTTGGCTACCAGTTCATCCAAACTGGGCTGAACCAGTATCATATCACCACTGGACAACTTGCTGAGCACAATTAACCAAAGGACAATTCAATAATTCAATTTAATTATTTAAAAATAATTGAAAAATTATTTTAAATGTTTGCTATTCGGATTTCATTTTCTCACTTTTTTGTGTCCTTTCTTTAATGATTCTATCCCACCGTTTCTTTGATATTAGTCTAACTCTTTTCACAGCAAGTTGGTTGCAGCGAATTAGCCAGATCTATAGCAATAGCAATAGCATTTAGACTTATATACTGCTTTATAATATTTTACATCCCTCTCTAGGCGATTTTACAGAGTCAGCCTCTTGCCCCCAACAATCTGGGTCCTCATTTTACCCTCCTTGGAAGGATGGAAGATTGAGTCAACCTTGAGCCTGGTGGGATTTGAACTGACAAATTGCAGGCAGCCAGTAGTCAGCAGAAATGGCCTGCAGTACTGCATTCTAACCACCGTACCACCAAGGCTCTGGTCTATCCAGAAATACCTGCAAACTACAACTGATAATGAACTATAGAAAAACATTGCAAAACAACCTGAAGCAGCAGATTCACAGGAAGAGATAATTTGCTTGTTTCTCTTTTTTTGCAAGTTTGGACTAACATGATCATGTGGCTCATAATTTTTTTTACCAAAATAAAACACATGTAATGCAATAAACATTTCCCAGTGGTGGCTCTTAATAAGGATTTCTGGAAAAGCTCTATTTTATTATTTCTCTCAAAAGCCAACAAAGTTGAGGCAAACATACAACAATCTCCCATTGCTAAGTATTCCACAGTCTGGAGCAGTGGTTGTATTCAACCGGTTCACACCAGTTTGGGCAAACCAGTAGCAAGGTTTTGGCATGGGTCGCTGAACCGGTAGTAACTTCTGGCTGGCCACATATCTCACCCAGTCGCCACTCGCTCGATTGCCCTGCAGGCCTGATGCTTACCCACCCAGTCACTCCTTAAAGTAGTTTTTCCCCCTCCCAACAGTCAGCTGTTCCTAAGATCAGCTGTGCTGGGATTCCCCTCACTTGCTTACTGCTTTGTCCAGGAGGCTTTCCTAAGGCCCAGGAAGACAAAAAAATGGGGGGAGTCCTACCAAAAAACCATACCCACCCAGTCACATGTCCATGTCCCCTAGCCACACCCACAGAACCAATAGTAAAAAAATTTGAATCCCACCACTGGTCTGGAGGCAGAAAAGAAGAAAACCTTCCCCTAGACTCAGCTCTGTTCGCACAGAAGGGAGATTCTCTGGATAAACTGCTGCTTCCATTAAATGCGCCTAATCTTTGTTACAGGCTTAAATTTCAATTGAATTTGGCCTGGCTCTACTATTCCTTTCCTTTGATATGAACTGTAATATTTATGTTCTGGCTTCTGTGCTCAGAGCCTGCCTCCCTCCAGGTGCGTGGAAAGTTGTCGTTCTGGATACTTCAGGGAGAGCCAGGAAGGGAAGCCCATCTGCTGCTACAGCTGCGTTCCCTGTGCAGAAGGGACCTTCTCCTCTCAAGAAGGTGGGTGATTCCAGAGGGAAGCAGTCCTTCAATAACAGAAGAGCAAAATTGGAAGGGACCGTTGAGGTCTTCTAGTCATTCCCCTGTTTATTCTGTATAATAAACTATACTATTCAGCATCTTTCTCCCAGCATGGAACTGAACTAGGGTTTACTTCCAAGAATCTGAATAGAAAGATGCTTGATGATTAACTGGCAACTCATTAATCTGAGCTTCCACACAGAAAAGCAGAAAGATGCCCTGGCATTTAAGACAGTTGATTGCAGCCCCTAAAAGTTTACCTTTGGTTTTTCTATGTTTTTAGCCATGGACCATCTCTGGTGGTGACATAGAAAAGCTAGACTAGTGGCAGGAGACCATAGGTATTATCATTCTCCTCTCAGGAAAGTTGGTGACTCCAGAGTGAAACATTCCTTCAATAACAGAACAACAGTGTTGGAAAATAACTTGGAGATTTACTAGTATACCCCACTGCTCACTCTGGACAATGAACTATGCCATTCTGGACAAATGGCTGTCATATCTCTTCTTGAAAACCTCCAGCGATGAATCACACTTGGGTTTTTCTTGCCTAAATGTAGTACTTTACTATTTTTCACCTTCGAATTTCATTTTGTTAGATAGGGGCCACTCTTCAAATCTCTCAAGATGCTTCTGTATCTGAAGCCTATTTTCTAAAAGTGTTGACTATTGATGTTGTCTGCATATTTGATGAGTTCCCCTTCTATCCCCTCATCTAAAACATTGATGAAGATGTGGAAGAGTACTGGGCCTAAGACAGAAGATTGGAGTACCCCACTGCATACTTCCCTTCATGTAGTTGCAGTTCCATGAAGGACTACAGGTTAAGTGCAGTTGGTCAGCCACAGGGATTGGATTCTACTGGTTCAGCCCAGTTCGGAAGAACCAGTAGCTCCAAAGATCAGCTTTGAGCGCACCAGTTTGCCCTGATGAACAGTTGTTAGGCCCACATGTCTCCCTCGGTTCTAGTCTGTGCTTGATTTTCAGGTTTTCCAGCTCAGCTGATTTGCACAGCACAGCGAATTGCCGCACATCAGCTGTTTTACACACAGGGCTCACAGCAGGTGAGTTGCAAATGCTGTCTGCGTACATGAAGCATTTGTTTAGTGTGCACATACACAAAGGGTGCACTCATTGAACCAGTTGTTACACAAGTTGAATCCCACCCCTGGTCAGGCAGTAACAAATCCATCCAGTAGCAGTACTCTCTTATTAAACAAAACATATGTATTAATAAGATTAACCTGAATAGAAAGATGGTGAACTCACACCTCATTAATCTGAGCTCCCACACTGAAAAGCAGAAAGATGCCCTGGGATTTAATATAGTTGAACAAAGTGCATAAAATTGTACCTTTGGTTTTTCCATTTTTTAGCCATGTGGTAGCATGTGGTACCATCTCTGGTGGTTGCATAGAAAAGGTAGACTAGTGGCTGGAGATGATAAGCACTATTTTTCTTCTCTTCAGATGCAGATTATTGCACCAAATGTCCAGAAGATCAACATCCAAATAAGGAGCGAGATAAATGTTTCCCTAAGGAATTAACTTACCTGGCCTTCAATGACAATCTGGGGACCACCTTAACTTCCCTTGCATCCTCTTTGGCCTTAATTACTACTCTAGTCTTAGCAATCTTTATTAAATATAGAGAAACTCCCATTGTCAAAGCCAACAACCGTGACCTCTCTTACATCCTCCTTACCGCTCTCCTGCTTTCCTTCCTGTCCGCATTTCTCTTCATTGGACGACCAAACAGAGCCACCTGCCTTCTCCGACAAACTACCTTCAGCATCATCTTCTCAGTGGCTGTTTCTTCTGTCTTGGCCAAAACAATCACAGTTGTGTTGGCTTTTCTGGCCACAAAGCCAGGAAACAGAGTGAGAAAATGGCTTGGAAAGAGTTTGACCAACTCCATCATCCTTTCTTCTTCCAGTGTACAGGTAGTCATCTGCAGCATCTGGCTGGTGGTTTCTCCCCCATTTCCTGATTCTGACATGCAGTCTCAATCAGGAAAGATTGTGCTTCAATGCAATGAAGGGTCTCTTACCATGTTTTATGTTGCTCTTGGTTACATGGGATTCCTGGCTGCCATCTCCTTTGTGGTGGCTTTCCTGGCCAGGAACCTCCCAGGGGCCTTCAATGAAGCCAAGCTGATCACTTTCAGCATGCTACTCTTCTGCAGTGTCTGGATCTCCTTTGTACCCACCTACCTGAGCACCAAAGGGAAATACATGGTGGCTGTGCAGATCTTCTCCATCTTGGCCTCCAGTGCTGGCTTGCTGGGCTGCATCTTTATCTCTAAGTGCTACATTATGTTATTAAGACCAGATCTGAATACAAAAGAGCAGCTAATTGTGAAAACTTAAGTTAGCAACTGACTCTTGTACATTTTTCCACAATGTCACCATTTCTCACAAATCTGTGTTCTAAAAAGTCTTGTAATGGAAAATGTGTATTTTTTATTCTGGGCTGCAAAAAAATATATTCAAATCTATGAGCAATATTTCAGCTGTCACACTTAGTTATTTTTAATGTATAATTACGTATTGTATGTATTTCCTATTCTTTATACCTATATAGTTTGACTAATTTTTCAGAATTAGAATCTAAAGTTATTATTCAGACCTTTCCATGTATATATTGACCTGCCTTTCTCTAGCAGCCAGTGGATCAGGATTTGGTGTTACATTTCTGTGATTTGGCATTGCTGGTTCCAAAAGTACTTTTTTCCCAAGAAACTCCAGTTGTGCTTTGGAAAAAACTCCTTTGGGACTACCATGACCTAGATGATTGAGAATCTCCATAAATGTCACATTATAGGCTTTGTGTCATATTATGTCAACACATAAAGGATCCAAATCTTTGGATTTGACCATCTGTTTATTCTCTTTCCCCTTGTTTTTGTGGGATTAAACCCTTTATTCATCTTTTGGATTTTTTTTTCTTTTGCATTGTTGTTTTCAGCAGGCTTTAGGATATTTCAGTGAGTCTATTATTCCTATATTGCTTGTAAGTGAAAAAAAGAAAGTTTGTCTTATGTCAATGCCAACTCTGATTCTCTTGAAGAAAAATCAATAGTGGGGAACTCCTAAATTTCTGTCCTATTTGTGACTTTAAATTGTCCACATCAGAGGTGGGATTCTACTGATTCAGCCAGGTTTGGCTGAATCAGTAGCTCCAAAGATCAGCTGGGAGCAAACTGGTTCGCTCCGAAGATCAAGGTATTTCCTTTTTTCCCCAACCATCAGCTGTTTTCTGCAGATCAGCTGTGCTGTGTGATTTTCTAGCTAATCTAAAATGTGTGGCACAGCTGATTGCCCCCTTGCTGTTGTACTGCTTCACCCAGGAGGAAATCTTTTTTTTGTCTACTGGACCTCAGGGAAGCCTCCTGAGAGCAAAAACAGGGTGTGGGGAGTGCTGTGCCTACCCCTTTTTTGCTCCCAGGAGGCTTCCTTGAGGCCCAGTAGGCCAAAAATCCACACCCACCCAGTCACATGACCATGCCCACCTCACCAAGCCCATCTAGCCAAGTCCACAGAACTGGCAGTTTAAAATTTTGCATCCCACCCACGGTCCACACCCTTGTCAAAATGAGCTATGTTTTGTCTCCTCAAGCAAGATGCTTCTGCTTCAGAGTCCAAACACTTTGTGGTGGGTTTGTAAAGCCAGGTTAGGACAAGATCTCACCTGTGTGGCCTCTCTTGACCCATCACTCCTGGTGCTCTCCGTGGTTCATGGATGAGTTGCAGATTTTGGAAAGCATTAAAACAGTGGCCCACAACCTTTTGGGCACTAAGGACTGGTTCCATAGGGTGAAGCTTTTCTGCGGACCAGAGACAGTATGGTTTCACATGCTGCCTGTATCCCACAAATGGGGCTTTACTTGTTTCCATGGCCTGGTTTCTGACATGCTTTAGACCCGTGTTGGTCCACAGATTGGAGGTTGGGGACTCTTGGATTAAGAAATGCCTAGAATGCCCCTGGAGGAAAATGAAGGATGCCTCCGACTGGATATGACTTAGAACTGCTATTAAGTCCTATATTGTGCTCAAAGGAGTGACAAAATATTATTATTTCTCTGCCCTTATTGAATCTGCAGAGCTCAGGACCTAGGAAAGAAAGACCTGTCAACTCTTAAAATATTTCTATGGTCTTTTTAGAGTTGCAAACAGAAAGGGAGGAGGGAGCAGGATGGCAGCTTGCAAACCGAAAGTGCATTCCATAAATGTTTTCAAAGATGACAAGTTTCTGCCATGCAAAATTCTAACTGGAGAGCATGATTGATGACTCTTGGATATGGATGTGTCCCATTGGAGAATATGAATTACGATATACCCAGGGTGTGAAGGGGAAACCAGGGTCAAGGGTGACAGTGAATTATGTGTCTCAGAGTCGGCTACACACAGGCAGTGCTGGACATTTTAACTCCCAATAAATCATTTTGAAGTTTGGAAGTTTGGCTCGAGACTCATGATTTAAATGGGGGAAACTGCTGGAATCCTGACAACACCCTTGATTCAGTAGTGGGATCCTACCTGTTCAGTGATTGTGCACATGTGCACTTAACACACGTGCAGCTTTCCCCACACCAGCTGAGTCCTGCAGTTCCAATCAGCTGAGAGGAGAAAGAGGAGAAAAGCACAGGAGCGATGAGAGGGCCGATCCTGTGCTTTTCTCTTGTTTCTCCTCTCAGCTAATCATCCCATGCTTTTGTTCCTCCTCTCAGCTGATCATTGGAGTCTTTTTCCTTACTACCGGTTCGGTCAAACCAGGTCAAACCAGTAGCATACCACCACTACCTTTATTCCATTTGCTTGAAATGATAAGATTTTTTTTTTTTACTAAGGTTAAGAGGTTGCAGTGAAAGGGAAAGCTAGATCTGGAGGTTCCAACTAATGAATCCAACCAATTTAGCACTCCGAGACTCGCCACTTTCTCAAAGAATGGTTTTATTGAAGTACATCATTTAATAGCTCTAGCTATTTCTCACGCTTTCAGTATATTTAGGGCATGGCTTGGATGGTTGGTGCCACAAAGCAGTTTCACATCCTGTTCCCAAGCCAGGTGTCCTTGAAGACTAGTATATGTCAGTTCTCACATCTCTGGTTTCCATCAGAGCGATCACCCTCCTTCCCTCTCATCTTCATTCTCTATCTTCCATTTCCTTCCTCCTCCTCCCCATCCACAATTTATGACAGTATACTAGCAAAGAGTAAAAGATGAAAATCTGACATTCCTTAGGGGAATACTTTTACCGCCATGTGTCGCCCCTATTACATGCTTTTGAAACTCATAACTTTATTTAATATCTTCAAAAGCAGAATTCACACCATATACAATATCCTAAACTCTGGTCTCCCTTCACTGGGCCTTCTGATTAGTTTGAACATCTCATGTCTCCCTCCATGTGCCTCTAGGGAGTCAGTTTGGAAGAAGATTGTAGTAGTTGTTTTTTTTCTCCTTACAATTTTTCGAATAAGGAGATTCTTGTTTATCTTCTGAACAACTCTCCAGGGATGTTTCTCCAAGGCTGACTTTGAGATATATATCAGAACACAAAAGAACACAAGACAACTTGCTTTCTAATCTTAAAGGACAACAACACAAATGCCTCTTGCATCACTGAGAACTGAAGTTGAGGACAGGAGACATGAAGAGGATTCCTTCCTGAAGATATCCTTCATAAATAAAGACGTATTGGTTCCCCTTGCATCAGGAAAGCTGCTAAAGACATAAACTGCTTCTAATCTTTTCCCTAATTGATTCTGCAGAACAGGTGAGCAACTAGCTAAGCCAGATATGCACATATACAACACCATTTGGGCTATGGCCTGAGCCCTAAGTTTGGCCTTTCTCCTCAGAGGGAAGAGAAGGAAGCTAGAGGAAATGGGAAAGACCTTGGAAGTAGAAAGGCTACAACCTTGGCAGGTATTTCCTTTTCCATCTGCTGAAGACTCTTCAATTAAAATTATTTATAAATGATTTTAAGGAAAAAATTATCATATGGAGAGCAGAAGTATCAGTTTCTATTTTTGGTGGAACTCTCTGGTGTTTCTCTGTTTTTTCTCTGCAGGAAGGTACCTTTTATCCAGATAAAAGGTTTTCTCCACAGAATCACCATATATTTTGGAGTATAAGATGCTCTGAAGTATAAAATGCACCTATCTGCCTCTGCCTCCCAACAATTTGCCTCCTTGCAGAAAACAGCAAAGCCAACTTCAGCACAGACTGATTAGCACAAGTGCCCCATTTTTTGGCCTTTGCATCCTGTTTTCGGGCTCTGTGTGCCCCATTGTCGGGCCATTCTGGGCAGGGGGGATTGGGACAGGCCAAAAATGGGTCAGGCAGAGACTGAAAATGGGATGCAGAGGCTGAATATGGGGCATGCAGCGGCAGCAATAGGTGATGGCAATCCCTGCACCCTGAAACAGCTGATCGGCAGGAGACCAATCCAACTGACAATCAACTGCTTGTGCTAATCAGGCTATGCTGAAGCTGAAACAAGCTGTTTGCTGCAAGGAGGCAAATTGCTGGGAGGCAGAGGCCAAAGGGTGGGGGGTGGCAGGTGGGCAGGGCTTTGGCCATATTCACTGTATAAGACACATATACATATCCACCCACTTTTGGGGATGGAAAAAGTGTGTCTTATACTCTGAAAAATATGGTAAACTGAATGCCCTAAGCTGGTTTCTTATAGGGCATTTCTTCTGTCTGCAGTGACTCCTCCCGCCTCCTTTCCACCAAAATGACACCAAAAGGATTACATAGGATTAAAAATACTGCTCTTTTCAAAAGGCTGTAGAGTTTCTTTGTTCATACAGATGTTCTTATCATTCCAGTTTCATCCTTTCCTAGAAGATCCCCAGTTCTATAACCATTCCATGGATGGGGTGTATCTGGGCAAAAACAGAGAGCTGGCAGCTGACTTTGACATTGTGAAGTGGTTTTGGTTCCCCAACAAATCTGTGGTCAGAGTGAAATTTGGGAGCTTTGCAAGACACAAATCCCAGGATGCCAAGTTTCTCATTGACCAGGATATGATTATGAGGTCCCAATGGTTTAAGAATGTAAGGGTAATCATTAACTGTAGTCCGGTTTCTCCCCTTCAATATCATCATACTTTAACACATTCCCAGTCAACTTCTTCAAATTTTGTGAAGCTCTGCAAGGATTCATAGTAATTGTCAATTCGTAAAGCATTTCTATGCCTGTTTTAGAGTTGCCATAAACAAGGGTAGGGAGGTAATCTGAAGGAGCAATATGGTAGTTTAAAACCAGAAGTACATTCTATCATTATCTTTTTTAAAGATTGTAACCAGGCTACTGGATCTTATGCCCACAAAAACCCTTAATTGGAGAATGTGAT